ATGACAAAGACCGTGCCCTAAAAGAACATGTAGCATACATACATCACATACATGCAAAACTGAAGAACCGACCTGTATCTTGGCATGTGCGACCGGAGCAGTTGCACGGTGGATCCTATTTGGCGCTTTAATGCTCGTTTGCAAACAGACGCCTACAGCGCACCCCCCGGGCCGGACCATTCTACGTTTTTTTTTCTATTTTTAAAACTCGAAAAAGTGTGCAACAAGTGCAATCTACAAGGATTGAAACCTGGACCGCCTCTTCCTTCCAAGTGAGGCACACTGACCACTATGACACCTCGTCGCTTTGTGAATACCTACTTCATGTTATATATAACTACGTGTAGGAAATGCCCTCTTACATATTCCATGTTTTTTTCTTTTTCTTTTTTGGTTTCCTGCTTCTTTTTTCTTTTCTTAAATTCGTGATCCTTTTCCAATTGATGATTTTTTTCAAAATTGATTAACCTTTTCCAATTTGAATGAACTTTTTTCAAATTCGGTTAACCTTTTCAAAACCAAGAAACTTTTTAACATTTTTGTGATTTTTTTTAACAATTGATGAACTTTTTTTCTCCATTCCGATGAGTTTTTTTGTCAAAATTGATGAACTTTTTTCAAAATTGATGAACTTTTTTTCAAATCCGATGAACCTTTTTCAAAATTCATGAATTTTTTTCTAGATTTGTCTACTTTTTTTCAAAACTGATGCACCACTTTTTCAAAACCGATGAATTTTTTGTCAAATCTGATGATCTTTTTTCACTATTGATGGTTTTTTTTCAAAATGGATGAACTGTTTTTAGAATTGATTAGCTTTTTCCCGAATCCATGAACTTTTTTTTAATTCAACGATTTTTTTCTTCAGATTTGAGGAGTTTTTTTGAAATTAGATGATTTTTTTGTTAAATTCGATGAACCTTTTCAAAATCACATACATTTTTTATTTCTTGATATTTTCATTTTGAGATTTTTTACTTTTCCATTTTTTTGAAATTCAACGGAGGTGAAACAACGCTCATTTGTTTTGGCAACAGGTGAAATAACACTCGAGGGAGCGACCAGGCGTGGCGATGAATGAAGAGATCAAGCGCTCACCACATGGGCCGGCCCACGAGGTGGCGACGTTGAGCGTCAGCTAGAGGAGCTGGCGCCTGCTGCGCTGCATAAGAGCTCCCCAGTTGCATAGGACCTCTGAATTTTAGGGAACCAAAAATCAAAGATTACTACTAGTTAAAGGATTAGGTACTATTCAAAATCACTAATTGAGGAGTACTCCTTCCAAATATCACTCCCCCTCCTCAGGTTGTGACAAGTGTCGTGCTGCATGTGTGCCACTTGTCGCAACCTGGGAGTTTTTCCTTTATCATAGGTCAGTTTAATCAAAATGTTTCTCTTAAATCGTGCATCGAAATATCAGTTTTCACCGTTGGACTCATGTCGAGGTCTTCAAAACTAGATCCCATGTTGATACGTTTTGATGATATTTTTCACAAAAAAAAACAGAACGAAAAAACCAAATAGGGAGCACATTTTCCCCTTTTCACAAGCCGTTCCCGAGAGGCACTACCGCGCCTCTTGCGAAAGCAAATCCGTGCCTCTCGCGGAAGCAAAACCGTGCCTCTCACCGAAGAGAAGAAAAATAGAAAACATGTTTTTTCCGTTTCCGAGAGGCACAGTCATGCCTCTCGTGGAAGCAAAACCGTACCTCTCATAGAAGCAAAACCATGACTCTCACGGAAGAAAAAAAAACTCTTGTGAAAGCAGAGCCGTGCCTCTCGTGGAAGCAAAAAATTTGCCTCTCAAGGAAGAAAAAAGAAAAGAGAAATGTGTTTCTTTTTTTCAGTTTTCAAGAGGCACGGCCTTGCCTCTCGCTGAAGCTATACCGTGCCTCTTGCAGGGAAATAACACGTTTTTTTGCGCAACTGTTTTTGAATTTTTGTTTGTCAAAAAGCTAAGAAAGACTGTTGAAAAACCGAAAAAAACAAAGAACCATCTAAAAAGCCGAAAACTCGTGCGGAAAAACCCAGAGGGAACAACCAAAGCGCGACACGTGGCGGTGGCTGAGATCGCGTCAAGTGGTGCGCTCTCAGCCCAACTTATGTGGTTATTAGGAGGCTCCCGAAGGAGCGCTGGAGCTCATGTCCCTTCTCAGTATTTGTCTCATTTTCAGATTTGGCCCATGCACTGCAGCGTCATGGTCTCCAACCTTTGACCCCCGCTCTAATTAGTTTCGAGCGGACTAGTATATTTTTTGTTCTTTCTAATATTTCATTATTGTTCTCTTTTGGCAAGATGTAAATACTTTTGTGATGATAAAATATCAACTTTGATGTTAGCTTGCAAGAACGTCTTATATCGTGGGAAAGGAGGGAGTACAAAATATATAATTGATGTTTGTTACACATAGAGCTGATTTTGCACCGGGCCCCAGATTTTAAAGGTACGGCCCTGTGAAGAAAGTAAATCAGACACATGCATAGTTGAACAAGCTCCAAAGGTTGTATGTTTTCATTGCAAACCAACCAATCAAGCTACAAGTTAAAAACTAATTCTTCACGAGCTTGAACAAATACACTCCTCCAAACCGACATACTACTACATAGTTAGAACATCACTGCGTTTCTCGTTCTCTAGGCAGCCAACATTAGCATGCATGCACGCGTACGTAGTCGTGCATGCAGACATGTCAGAGATAGATAGATGGATAGATTGATGATGGATTATAACGTCAGTCCTGAAGAGTCGAGGCTCAAGAGCAGCCAAGCCTAAGCTCAAGATCCAAGCCTCCTCCCCCTCCTCCGACCCCCAGCTCCAGGTCCACCACCAACGCAGCCTTGGCCGCCTCCGCGGTCGCCGCGGTGGAGAAGAAGCTGTAGACGGGCGGGGTCGCCGAGGATGTGCCGCCATAGTCGCCACCGGGGCAACGCGGCGGCGAGAAGTTGAGGTTGGGCACCCAGTCCCTGTGGACAGCAGCAGGAGCCGGAGCTGGAGCCGCGGGGTAGGCGGAGCAGTAGTAGTGGCGGATCCTGGCCCTCTCCCGGCGGTGCACGTTCATGTGCCCCCCGAGCGCCTGCGCCGACCGGAACTCCCTCTTGCAGTAGCCGCACGTGTACGAAGACGACGGCGACCTCTGCGCCGGCCACGACATGCCGCCGCCGGCGGAGGCGTAGCTCCATGCCGCAGCCGGCCTCAGCAGCAGCACCTGCCGGTGGTGGTCGAGGTGGTCGCGGTCTCCTCCTCTCGCGCTGCCCCTGCTCTCCATCAAAGCTGGCTAGCTACTGGCTCCGTTTGTTGCGGTGTATGTGTGTGTGTAGCTGATGCGCGTGGTGCAGGGTGGCTACTGGCTGGTATATATGCTCCTCTCCTGCAGTGGCCACCATGTTTGTTTTTTCTCCTCGGACCCAACACATGCACCAATGGCTAGCTTGCTACTGTCTCAAGCACAACGCACACAGCCACTCACATGTTTGAATGACTGAGTGAGGGTGTGGAGGATGGATGGATGGACAGAGGGAAGTGACCAAGTGCACGCGGAGTCAAAGGTAGAGTAGTGAGGATGGAGAGTGGATAGTGGGTGATGTGGCAGGCGAGATACCCTCACAACAATGCTCTCCGTTTCGGGGAAGACTATGTGACATGTGTTGGCAATGTGCTGAGCCCACTTTCCCTCAGGACAGGACATCATGCGCACCCAGAGAGGCCCCTATGAATTGAGTTGAGGAGACAGAAACTACATAAATCGGCATATATTTCCATCGTGTCACTGTAGTATCTAGCTAGTGAGTACTGTCTGGTTTGCTTCTGACTTACTCCATGGCATCGCTAAGGTGCTAGCTAGGTACGTAGTAGCTGCAAGCCTACATTGCCAAGGAGGCAAAAAGACAGCGGCTGTACGTGACCGATGCTCCGAAAGCGTACGCGGCCTTTGCCCACTGTATTTCCTTTGTTTGACTGCATCTCTTTTTTCTTTGATTTTCGTTTTCTTTTCAACCAAAGAAATGTTACCAACCGGTTTGGTTTGATCATCACGTCAGTGTCATAACTCTTATAGACTGAGCAGTACGTCCCATCGATCATGTCACACACAATGCATTCAAAGCCCGGCCGAATATTATCCGCCTTCCGTCAACGCATTGCATGCATGCATGGGCCATGCATGTCTGCAGCCTCAAGGCAATGCGCCCATTGGCCAGTGCTAGACATGTTTGGGCGCTGGTGGCCATGATGGTAACCCAAAGATGATGTAGAGTTTGCCATGTATAGATGCATGCACGTCTCTTTTTGAGTTTTTACCTTTGGAAATTGTAATGTGTGACTCAAGTTACCGTGGTATCTTTCTTTTCTGAGATGATACTACTCTTACTCGTCTCCAAGGGTCACAAGAAGAGAGCTAGCTAGAAAGCCATCCATGCAACTGACGCGTGCAGTTCTCTTTGAAAGAAAAAAAAAGAATGAATTGCAGAAAACCACTACATTGACGTCTAGGTTTGCAGAAAACACAGTCCTACGAATTCCTGGCAGAAAACACTGATTCTAGGTTTAATATTTTGCAGAAAACACTGACCCGTCTGTTTGGGCATTTTAACCTTGATTATGACATGTGGGTCCCATTTTTATGACGTGGATTAAGTGCATAACGGACATGAATTAACGACGTTTGACGGCACTGCTAGGTCATAACTGGCTCCCGGTTTATCTTTTCCCCTCCATCTTGACATTTCCCCCCTTTCCTCGCGCTCTCCTCTCTCTCTCCCTCTGTGTCTCTCTCTCTCTCTCTCTCTCTCTCTCTCTGTCTCATCCATGGCGACGGCGAGCCCTGACACCGGCAAAGGAGTGGATGGCGCACGCGGTGATGGCGCAGGAGGGTTGCTTGGCGACCGAGATCCAAATCCAGCAGAGGATGTCTGCGGGAGATCTAACCCTAGCGAGGCCCCACAGTGCAGAGCGCCGTCGCTCTAGTACCGTGTTGTCTGCACTTTGCCCGTGTTGTGTAGGCAACTCCGATGGGGAGCCACCAGTGGGCATCTGCGTTCGGCGGTGTGGAGTAAGCTTTCTCCCCCTCAATTTTTGTTGATTCTAGGGTTAGGGTTCTAAACTAAATTGGGGATACAACTCCGAGCGAAACTCTAGGTTTAGGATTAGGGTTCTAATACAAATTGGGGATTCTGCCCTGTCAATTTGATGGTAGTGAACATTGATATTGCCATGTCCTGTAAATTAGATACACTACTGGAATTAGCTTATTTGCCGTCCGCCATCTTTTTACCGTCCGCTGGCGGACGACAAAGAAGGTCTTTACCGTCAGCCACACGAAAACAGACAGCAAAGAAGTAACTGATGGCAAATAAGGTGTTTTCCATCAGCCAACTCTTTGCCCTCCGCTAGCGGACGGCAAAGAGGTTGGTGAGTCCAGTTATTGTGTAACCAACCCAAGCCCACCGGCCCTACCTCTTTGCCGTCGGCAAGTGGACAACAAAGAATGTTTGCCGACCGTTGGTGGACGGCAAAGAGGCGGGTACGTTAACGGCCGCCCCGCCCCCGTCCTTTGTCTCTTCTCTCCACTCTCTCTCGCTCTCGTTCCCTCCCCACCCACAACCGCGCCGCCGCCGCCGACCCCGTCTGCCGTAGCCAGCCGCCCCGCCGCCGGGCACCCCTCCCCTGCGGCGCCCCGGCCTCCACCGCACCCCCGCCGCCACTTCCACGTCGCCCCGCCCACACAGTCCCGCACCGCC